ATACAACTATATAATTGTTAAGGCCTCTCACTCCTTTTACAACGATAACATAGTTATTCGGGATGATTGTTTACTTATTTAGCTTAGTTATACTATATAAAAAAATATTATATGTATATTCTTGAGAAAAATAGAGTTTAATTCAGTTTATATTAAAAGTGAACATTTGATAAAATCTGTAGTTGTATTTGTTTATTTCAATATTGTTTCATAGAGTCAATCGTAGAATCTTTGAATAAATACTTTTTTAGGAAAAGTATTAAGTAGATACTACCGAAATTTTATATAGATAAAAGCAGTGATTTTTTAATTATTCTTAAATTTTATTCTTTTTTTTTAAAGTTAGTCATTTGAGATAGTAACTGTAAATTCTTTAAATATTTATTTTTTTACTAATTTAATTTATTTACAATAATAAAGGATTATCACGTATGTTTCAGGATGTCCTGTACAGGAAATCACAGAAGTTGTCTTTGTCTAACGAAGCTAATAGAGATGGATCTACCTTTTGACAGCTTGAAAACTAAATTCAAATAACTCTTTCCTCATATAATCTAGTTTTGTTTGTTATATTCAAGTTACAAGTTATTAACTCATTCTTGGTAGTAAATAATTATTAATTCAATTACAATTGCAATGTTTCTGTTCACTAAATGCTACTTTAGATCTTTAAGAGATTTTTCTTATAATTAAACGGATATTGGCGAAGATTGCAACATATTTGTTATAATCAAATTACAATTTTAGGGTACAGATTTGCTTGGCCATATAAGTGTGATTTTTTGACTTAATTCAATAAACAACAATCTAATTCCGCTGTCGTTTGTTTTATATGTATGAATCCAACACTACCCAGTCGTATAGACGGCTGAATGTCTTGAATGATTGAATTTCGGTGTACTGAAACAGTTTCATTGTAAATATCCTTTTTATTGATCATGCCCTCTAGGAAGTATTGGATGTTCACCAATATCCTTACTACATTATAAGCCTCTGGGTTTATATAGATTCATATTTGCATTGCTGGCTCCTTTAACATATAAAATTATTTATTTCGAGTGAAATATATACTCATTTCTGTTAAATGGGTTTTTTTAAGTTTAAATTTGAAGATGAGCAACCTCAAACAACAACATTTAAATAAACAACAGCCAAAATCGACCTATTAATACGGAAAATTAACAGTAAATTAATTTTGAGAATTTTCTGTTAAAACTTTTCGATTATCCCTTATATTACAGTTAAAGAATTATAGGATGTCCTTTGTATTTCAAGTGGCTGAGCGACATCTCACGGTCGGTAGTTAGATATTGATCTAGATCTAGTTTACAGGTTTCAACTATATTACAGATGTCTATCAAGTAGCTACTAAAGTTTAAGTGGCAATAATAATAACACTAAAATTTACGCGGCAAATTATCAGATTTCCCAAGCATCTTATGCTCTCCTAATACAAATTTCCGATTTTCAAAGTTTCGCTAGAATTTGATTTCTGTTGGCGCCTTCACCAAAATTGTTTTTAACAATTAACATGTAAATGTCGTTACTTCATTAAAGAAACGATAATAAAGCTAATGAGAGCGTATTTAATCTTTATTATTAAATGCGGATTAATTGATAAATTAAGCAAACCTTCTCTGCAAAAATTCGATTTTCGTTCCTATACGTCGGTCGACTTTAAACGAAAAAACGTAAAATACTCCATAAATAATAATTTTTTAGCAAAAATAAAGATATCGGGAGCTCCTTATATCATTTATTGGTTAATCTATATCATCAGTTATCATTTATCGATGAATACAGCAAAAATAATTTGCAGAAGTTCGATTTCGGTTCCCAAAAACGATCGACAGGTAGCTATACATGGGTTATTTTTGGGAACCGAAATCGAACATTAGGACAAAATTTTTGCTTAATTTATCGGTAAATGACAACTGATATCAATAATTAATGAACAAATGATAAGAACTAGCTCTGGCTTGCATTATTTCTGCCAAAAAGTTATTATTTATGGTGTTTTTTACGTTTTTCCGTTTAAGGTCGACCCACGTAGAGGAATGAAAATCGAACGAATCCAGCTTAATGAATTGCTCGAAAAATTTTCAACTCGATTCGTTCGATTTTCGTTCTTAAACGTGGGTCGACGTTTAACGAAAAAAATGTTAAATACACCATAAATAGTCATTTTTTAACAAAAATAAAGCAAGCCACAGCTAGTTCTTTTCACTTATTCATTAATTATCCATATCAGTTATCATTTACCGATAAATTAAGCAAAAATTTTGTCCTAATGTTCGATTTCGGTTCCCAAAAATGTATCTACCTGTCTATCGTTTTTAGGAACCGAAATCGAACTTCTGCAAATTATTTTTGCTGTATTCATCGATAAATGATAACTGATGATATAGATTAACCAATAAATGATATAAGGAGCTCCCGCTATCTTTCTTTTTTCCAAAAAATTATTATTTATGGTGTTTTTTACGTTTTTTCGGTCAAAATCCACCCACGTATATGAACTAAAATCGAACTTTTGTTGAAAATTTTTGTTTAATTAATCAATAAATCACATCTAATATCAAATATTATTTAATAAATGATCTAAATACGTTCTCGTTAGTTTTTTTTCCGAATAATAGTAATTTATCGTCCGCAATTTTATTTATGTTTAAATATAAATACTTACCACTTCCCTTTTTGCACTATTTTCTTCACTTTAAGGTTGAGTATTGTCTCAAAAACAAAGTTTCTGCACTTTATCAGTTTAAAAACTCTCCTGATATTAGCTGAATTACAAAACTAATAAAAATAAAACTCAATTAATAGCAAATGTTTTACTTAAAATCTTCATATGTACAAAATAAATTACCTTCCAATACAATATAATCGTATTACAAGAAATTTTCGGCGAAATAAAAAAATAAAACAAAATCTTTTTTTAAGTGCGAATTAGTTGAAATTAACATATTGCACGATTGGTTTTATTTACAATGCACTTATGTAACAGCAGACATTAATTTTATTGAAACGAGTCAAATATACACAAAAAAACACTCGTTAAGTACAGAACTTCTTTTGTTAAATAATACAATAAATTAAACAGGTAATCAACGTTAAATAATTGCTGCTGTATTTTTTCGACAAAGTCAAAATCCAATAAAGTACACTTAAGGTGCAATAACTGCAACAAGAGACATCGAAATGTTGATAATTCTACTACAATGTAAACATCTACTACAACAGGATAATTAAAACGATAATAACTATATCATACAGTATAAGGACACAGGAATTTCTTTTTACTGCACTTTTGGATTGCACATACACTTAATAAAATTAATATACACACACATATATCAAAAAAGAACAGTATGATGATTCAATAAGAAAAACAAATAATTCTTTGGTTCTACTTCAGTGATGCAAAGTTAACTTTTATTTATTTCTAAAAAGTACAATTGAAATTTGGGTTTTTAATCTGTTATCTATGTGCTACGAATAAATAATTTTAGTCAATAAAAGTAAAATGCAATGAATAAGGTGATTATTTATCAATGGAATCCATGGGTTAACTGCAAGAGTGGATAGGATGTAGGATTTTTTATTTAATAATTAAGAATAGTCTGTTAGAAAAGTTCCATTAGAAATCCATTGTTACTGAAATGTTCCGTTAAAAAATAACCACCCTGCAAAAGTAAATTACAAATTTTGCATCACTAAATTTGCAAAATATGTATTACAAAATGTTAATATCAAAAGAGAGCTGCCTGCTTTTTCGCCACTAAAAAAATACTCTTAAAAAAATGTTAAAACACGCCCTTCTTGGTTTACTCCTCAAAATGATTTGCACCGTTTCATATATAAAAAAAACGTTAAAACTATATCACTTAAATCACTTTTTTCTTTACGAAAGTTGTGAATAGCCCCTACATACAATACATGAGTTATAATATACGAATTATGAGGCACGATAGCTGCTAATATCAATTAAGATTTATTTTTATAATTTTGAGAAAGCTATCCACCTTTCACGCATTAAAAATTATCAGAAAAATAAAAATAAAAAAACGTTACGTATAGGAAACGAATAACGAGAAAAATATCCAGCCAAGCCTGCAATATATCGGTATTAGTATTAATGATTAATAGTAATTAAAAATACGATACATTTGGAGGCAGATATACCCATTATGAAGCATATTCATTTTCCATGGGGGTACATACTAAAAAGTACTCGATACCTGTGATGTTTCGCATTTTCTAATAATCGACTTTAAAAAGAAAAATTACAACTAAGAATCGCATCTGTTATCAAAACCAAAAATTGGGAAGAACCAATTTCATTATGTATAAAACGTATAGGGAGAATTAATTCGTCTAAAACAACCTTAATACTTATTCTAAAGAAACTTCCTTACAACGAAAGTTTCATTTCATTTCAGCACTAATAAAAAAAACAGCAAACCGCTATATCAAATGTCTTTAAACATCACTATCTGGATCAGTTTCACTGCGAGGTTGTCCAAAGTTCCTTGTGATGCTTTCACTCATTGACCTAATGTTTGCCAAATGAACGTTATCAGTCGGTACAGAGAAATAATTAATACGATCAAGGTCAGGAAGGGGTCCGAGGTCTTCATCCGTTCTGTAACAGTTATCGTACTCGGAATCGTAAAGAGCGCTTAGTGAATCCAACGACATCATGGCATCAGAGTCCAGAATCCGGGAGGAAGCGCGGGATGACATGCTCGTGTTATCGTCCAGATCACCTTCATGATTGTGGTCGTTATACGCCGAGTTAACATCACTTAGAGCACCTGAAAAAAAAAATACACAATTACAGACTTTTCCACGAAAAGAAAGAAGAAAAAATTAAGAGTAAGAAATAAATAAATAAAATAATTACAGAAAAAAAAGAATAAAATACAATTAGCATGGAATGGGCATTGAAAATGGGAAAATACATATGCTTGGGAAAAAAGAGACGTTGCTGAACGTGCTATTTTTACCTTCTGCGTCTGTAAGCCCTGCTTCATGTATCATTGAAATATTTTCAAGTGCAGGATCATCTGTCGTATACCCTGTTGACTCTCGATCGTTAAGAAGGAGCTCAGAAACACCGCCATCTTCATCTTCGCTCCATTCGGACTGACTTCCTTCTGCCTGTGTTTGGTTTTTAATACCAATGTTGCTTCTACACGTTTCTAGTTCTTCCTCCTCTTTTCTTTCCAGTAAGCTCTTCATTTCATTTTCCTAATGTAAAGGAACAATTTAGATTAAAAAACTGGATATTTTTGTAAACATTTACTACTGTTTTGGTCATGCAATAATATAAAACATTTTCATTTAAAAACGATAATTAATTAATTAATTACCATATTCCTTAATTTTGGCTGCATGTAAAAAGTTTTATTTGTAATTAATCTGCAAATGGTGAAATATTTAAAATTTACCTTAGCAATTTCTTCCTCTATTTGCCTCTCGTCTCTTTCAAAACTTTCCAAGTCTGTATCGTCATCGTCCCTATTATATTGGTATTCAAGCATATCACAGTCGTTTTCAGGTTCACGTTCAATTTTAGGACTTCTAGAAGTGATAATGAAATCAAAAAATAAAAATTACAAGAAGAAGTAGTCATGTATGTTTTAGAATTGTAATTGCAATTTTCATATAAAACAGATTTTTATTAGTATTTCCTGCAAAAGCTTTTTCATGAAAAAAGCATAGAGAGCAAGCAGCATGGAGATGGTTAGCTATAAATTACTTAAGAGCTCAAAGAATCGTAAATATCACTTTTTCCGTTTTGTATTGTTGTTTCTAATTAAATCAAATATAATATTTGTGTAGGTACTAAAGTGAATTTTTGGACACTTTGATCTCTTACTGTTTCTACGTCGACTGCCAAAGCTTTTGTCTTTTGCCCCACTACAAACTATTCTTTTAAGCGTGTACCTGTCCATGGGTGAAATTTTTTGTTGCTTATGACTCTCGCTTGGGCCAGGCGAGTTAACTCTCTTCAAAGAGGCCTCCTTGCTACTTGCCCGCGGTGAAGACATGCATTGCAGGGTGACGCTGCCAGTGGGGTTCACTCGCAACCCCAGTGCCAAAGCCTGAATTGCCGCCAGACCGACCTGATGGTTATTATTAGAAGCGTACCTTCCGAATGACTCGAATGGTAGCTCTTTGTTTTGCTGCGTCAGCTCAGTCTTCGGTGGGATGTTTTGGAGAAGGTTTTGATCTTCTAGGATTTTCTGTATCTCTTTTTCATAATGACCCGTACCCTCTGAACTTCCGTTTGTGTTGCTTATTTTACCATTACTACTAGGCTGATCGGGAGAAGTGTGCATTCTTTTCATATCTTTTTTGTCGGTTTGACTAAAGCCATCCTTCTTGGATCGTTCGCTGCTACTTCTGTTTTCCTTGTCTCTGAGGATCTTTTTGATATCATCCATTCCTTTGAAGCTGGGCGATCGTTTACAATTGACGTTGTTTCTATGGCATTCAATAATCGAATCACTATCATTCCTTGTGCGTGGATGTCTTTCGGGCCTTTTTATATTAGCTCCATTGGTACTTTCAGCTTTTAGTAATGGATAATTGCTAATTTTTTGTCTATTGCGAGTAACAAACTCAAAACTAGCACAACTTTCTCCCCTTCCACTCTCTTCGCCGTCAAGTACAGGAGGGCTTGTTACCACTGACGACTCTATAGTGTTCGTGTTTGCCGCTAGTGCTATGACCGCGTTCGGTGGTAAATTGTTATGCTTCTTATTGTTATTACCATTGCCTCTTTCGTTAGAATTTCGTAGACAACAGTTTGGCGGTATATAATCAAGGGAAGCACGAGGAGATGCTTCGGGAGACGAGCAAGGGTTCACCTGAATATCTGAAGGGAATAAAAATTGGTGAGGCTCTGCAGCAGGAGTCGGGGAAACGCAAGGTGACACGTCTGCGTCTGTTGTTCTACTGTAGCTTTCGTCTGAACTGCTTATACTTGGAGAATGGTTAAGTGAACTGATTTCATCTACTGATGAATGAATGCGTTGAGGTGCAGTTGATCCATACAACCCTCCCAAGCTTTCGTCTGAATAGTGCCTTTGCAATGGACTGTGCCTATTATGGTGAGGGCTTCGTCTCGCATGAAGAGGACTTTGTCTGCTATTTATAGGGCTTTGTCTGTTTTGCAGTCTGGTTCTTATAAGTTCCGGACTGTACTCTATCGGTTTTGAATTGTTAGAATTTTGCGTTGGAGCCGCAGGGAAATTATGGCGTCTGTGATGTCTGTTCGGAGATTCTTTTCCAGGAGGACGGGGTAATGGCTTTAAGTACGGTTTTATTTCAGGTGGAGGAGCAGGACTTCGTGACCAGGGAGGGATATATTTCATATCTTTGACATGAAAGTTGGGAACTGGTTGATAATTTTTATGACGAGGCAATGGAGGCCCTTGTGGATTACCTATATCAGTATTGAACGGTTTATCATTACGATTATTTGGCTGGAAGCAAAATGAAGACAACAAGGGTTCGCTTTCGTTTATCTTGTTGTCTTTATTTCTATCTCGTACTGGTAACAAACGTATTGCGTTACGGGTGCCATTATAGTTTTCTTCCCTGGATGTTGAACATTTTTGTTGGAAAGAATTATGAATTTTCGCACGACCGTTCATTTCACTATGATGTAGCAATGCCAAGGGTGTAGCCACTCCACCATATAAATTATTTGAAGCTAAAAAAAAAATTAGAAAAATAGAACAGACTTTAATGTAATTGTTGTTATTTAAAATTTACCCAAATTTCCTTGCTTCATGTTGTGTAGATCATCGACCCTGATAGTTCCTGGTTGCTTTCTGTCAGTGAGAAAGTAAGTGGTCATGTCACCCTTTCCTTTGACTTTAACCTTTCCACGACACTGAAACTCGTAAGGGTACGTTTTGAGAACTTGGTAAACCTCTTCAGTGACCTGGGTGTGGTTTGGGAGACCTGTTGAATCCATTCTACTTGCAACGTTTACTGTATTTCCCCAAATATCATACTGAGGTTTACGTGCTCCTATTACACCTGCTACCACTGGTCCGATGTTTATTCCTAAAAAATTAAAACGAGCGCCAATTAAAAAAAAGATATGACGTTAAAGAATAATATGCCACTCACCAACTCTAAGCATGAAGTTATTATAAGAGTTTTCATTTATACAAAGCAGTTTTTCCCTCATGGCAAAAACAAACTCCACAAGAATGCTGAGGTACAGGCCAGCTGTAGCTTCATCATCTTCCAATATTCTCTGATCTGGCATTAATCCAACAGCAGCCATGTACGTAGAACCTACAGTTTTAATTTTATCTATTGCTTTGAACCTTTCCTCCCCTAAAAGTTCGTCGAAATCAGCGATTATTTCGTTAAGAAGTCTTAAGCATTCGACACCCTGGTTGTTGCCATCGAGTTCTGTATAAAATTCGTGGAAATTGGTTATCGATGCGAAAACTACACCGACTCTTGAGTAACTCTGATGGTAGAGTTCCTGTGACAACGTATTCTGTAATAAATTATGATCGAATGAAGATGTGATTTTGAATAATATATGAACACCAAACGTCTATCTGTGCACAACATATATATAAAAAGAAATTATTAAAAGAAGTAGAATATTTTCTTTAAATTCAATCAATGAACATTCAAAAACGAATTCGTACAAATAAAAATTAATGAGATATATAACTTTGTAAATGAATGTTATGAATGAATGGAGCTGACGAAAGAAAACACAAAGAAGTGCAACTTTTGCGACAAAAATGAACGTGCAATTTATGTTAGCTGCGTTTGAATACTTACCATATTACTTCTAAATTGATTATCAAGAAAATGCATAGCTACATGGGCTGGTAGTAAATTAAAAAGTATTCGTTTGTTAGAATGTTGTAAAGCGTCCATTTCTCGTTTTTCTTCATTAGCTTGTACTTGCCACAAAAAATCGAGACGTACAGTCCATTCTACTTGACGCCCATGTAATAAAACTGCCAGGACGAACATCAAAACTTCAACCACACTTAAAACGTGAGCTGGTATTACAGAACTAAAAATATAAATATCATACCATATTTTCATATTTCAAATATTAAATTGCTCACTTGACTCGGAGATCGTAACACAAAAATAAGTCGATATGCGAAAGCTCAATGAGAAGGATATAAACAGTGGACATTATGACCAAGAGTGACGCTTTTAACAAAATTGGAAGACGTAAAAATAAGGCGACAGCCAGGTAACTAAGGGCACATGAGATTACAATGTAATGAGGCAAAGGACAAGCCCTATGATCCTTCTCGGTAGGACTATCATCTAATGTAACATTTGTTGTAGTTCTTGCAATACACGTTGTATCTGATCTACAGGTAAACTAGAAAAAAAAAAGTGTAAGATGTGAAATTTGAATTTTTCTCCAAAATATATAATTCTGAACGTACCACGTTAACCTGCGCAACGGTATAGATGAGAACAATAGTAAAAACGGTGATGGCAAGTCGTAGAACAAAACTGTGGGATATGTCCCACAAAATCCACCTCAATCTTACAGCAAGCAACAGCATTAAAACGACGGAAATCCAAACGAAAGCAGTAAGAAATAAGAGCAACAAAATAATAGTCCTGGGAAGAACCACTGCTTGTAAGGCTCCGAGAAGCACTAAAAGAGCCAATGAGCATGCCAAGGATGAACTAAATCCTACATCCAGTTCATCATGATACTGAAAATAAGTGAGCTTTTAGTAAAATATAAAATTAGCTTCTATTCGTTTTGATATTTTTCAAAGTTCGAGTACACTTTGTCATTTTTGTAAGAACTTTTGCTCTGATTCTGTAAGTCAAAAGCATTAAAATTATAAACTCACCCGTACTTCCTTGTCCTTATCTTTAAAACATAATGTTATAAGGCTAACGTGGGTCGACTTTTCTCTATCGACGCTTCTAGCATCTATTGCTTGAGCTAAATACTTATTAACTCTACTCGAAGGTTGGTGGTACACGCTGGAGTGTCGTTTCTTGAAGGGTCTCTTAAACTTCTCGGTAACTTTGTTCTAAAATATACACAAGCCAGTTACAAAATGCAATAAATGAAAGACAGGTCTTGTGTAAAAGTAGGTACATTCATCAAATAAAAAATTAAAACTGCTAAAAGAAGAATAATAGTAGTAGCAAACAGTGTCTACCACATAAACAGGTAGCATGGCAAACAAATCTTCATGTCCAGCTATGATTTTATACTGACGTAATAATTGTGCAAAACACTGGCAGCTTCTTGTTGCAAAATAAACTGTTTCGCAAATTCATTCGGACTTTTTACTGGGCGAGAAGTAAATGAAGCAAGTATAAAGCAATACGACTAGTAATATCTGCAACTCTTTTATTGAGATTATTAACGTTAAAAAACTCTGAAAGTGTGTAGGTATCGATTTTGTATATAAAAAAATACCTGAGGGAACTGTTTTACTTATTGCAGAATTACTAATAATACATTGAAAGTAATGAAAATAAAATAAATTAATTCAACCATAATAGTACACCACTAAAACCGTAAAGTAAAAGTTATTAAAAATAGAATAAAGTGAATTAAATATTAAATCATTCGATGAATAGTATTAAATAATGTAGAAATTTTTCATTCATTATGACTAAAAGAAATAACATTGTAGCTGTAATTTTAAAACATAAGATCGGCAGTTTCCTAAATAAGAGCCGGGCAAACTTGGTTCTCTTAACTTTCGAGCTTTCCTCAGGTATAGCCAAGGAGCTCCCCATTGCTCCTGCGAGTATGAGTGACATGGTTCTTTCCTTTTCTTATCCCTTACATTTCGTAGGTAAGTCCCCTTTCCATAGCTGAACCCAATGGCATTGAAACCGTAGTCCGGTACGCTATCCCTGAGCCGCGGGACGATTATTAGAAAATTTACTTAGATACTATTTAAGTTACGAGAGGGGCTTGTTTGTCTACGGGAAGAAGGGGCTTCCCATGGGAGTGGAAGGGATAAGAAAAAGAGAAAGCAATATGGGTTATTATTGCTTACTCTCTCGTACTCATTGAAGGGTACAGAGTGACCCAAACTAATCTCAGGAATCTCCTACGAAGTCAATGTTTGCCCGACTCTGTCCTAAAGTAGGTGTTGCATACAAACCGTTCTTTAGTAAGAACATAATGCAGAATGGTGAGTAAAACCAGTTGCTTGTTAGTCTTAATAAAAGCAGTGCAAACAAATATCACAAACTCAGTGTTACGACGAACAGAATTTATTAGAAAAAGTAATAGTAATAAAAGTAAAATAATCCGTGGTTTTAGCAGTCAACTCACTTTAGCTTCTTCTGTGACCGAAGTCACTCCGCTTGGTGGTATTTCTGCGTGTAGGATCCTCTGAAGATCTAGCACCTACAAGCCACAACACCAACTATACACAACACCACCGCTTAATACGTTACAAAGGTTAATACCATGCTTCGATTTAAACGCTTTTATCAAATGTTGGATAAGCTACGCTAAAAAAAAATATGCAAGCAAAATTTAACTGAAACTACTAATACATTTTCATCCATTTGTAAGTGGGCTCAAACACCACACTCAACGTGGATGGGGAAATGGGTTGAGTTTTATCTACTTTTCTATAATATGCATTAACGTTTATGAATCTATATGTTTACAAAAACTACTCAAACCCGACTTTAGGTTATCAGGATAAATTAGTTTTGCCTAGTTTGGCCGAGGCCTAGGCAAAACTAGTTTATTCGATAATTCAGTTTGGCCTAATCCAAAATGATTTACATCGAAATGTTACAATCCAAACCCTACTTCAGCATAAACTACTTTTGCTTCAGCGGACCTAAACTGACTCACTTATTTCTTTACTTGTTTTTACCAATTTCTTTTCTTTTGTGACATTAAAGTGTTTAGCAATTTACTGAATGACACAACACAAACGATTAAATACGAACGTATAGAAAGAAGAAAGAGTTACAGAAAAAAGTTTCTAACTACTTTTTGCAATGTGCAAAGTCACAAAAAAGACACAAATTCGTAAAAAAAAGAAACAAAAAAAAACTAATAACTAAATTAAATTGTGCCATTATTTAATTCATTTTTTGCACTTACCCTAAGAAGTACAATCTTGACTACTTACAATACCGAAGTGGCAGAATACACTTACCGCATCCTAAAATTCAAACGATCATGCAGTCACAACACCCAAGTGCAAGATTAATTTCTGATATTATGATTAATTGTTAGTACATACATATAATAGACCGTATTTTGGTTCAATAAGTTTTAATTAAAAACTGTGTAACAACTCTATTTGTTATGTATTAAATACCTTCACCAGTTTAAACTAATTATACCAAATTCTACTTCCTTGTTAGCCTTACTATGCATATACGTTATACATACGTACATATAAGATAAATGCCAGGGGCTGGTCGTTATGGGATCATTTTGTCCCTTTAGGTACAGGTCTCATATGTCATGTGTTTTAATAACCACAGAAAATAGGGTGTGGCGTTATGTTATTTTACAAAATATAAATTAAAAAAAAAAGGTAATGCATCGGCTGGAAATAAAACTTGGGCCCCACGCATAACAGTTATTGTAAAGTTCTTGTAACTGATGTTATTTACTAGAAATGTTTTTTGGTAAATCATTTGAGCATGTTTGCCGTATTTTAATAATTTATTTTGTGCACATCCACGACACAATACCTTTAGTATGATATAGATATTGAAAAAACGGACCAGAAATAAATAACATTACTACTGAAACTTATTTATTCCTAAAAAGTCCCTACAGAGTCATAATAGCCGCAAAAAGTTTTAAAAAGATTGAAACCAAACACTTTAAACTCATATAAACTTACAGCTATTGAAAATCTACCCCTCCCCTAGGAATAATCTCCAGCTACGCTCATGGTTACAAATAATTTTTTTTAGATTCATTCAATTGTTTAAGAAATAGTAAAAGAGTGCGTAATTACCCAAAAATATTTATTGTTTTTGTAATCAGAAGCCATTGCAACTTATGTTGCACTAGCAGCAAATACAAAAAATATGAGACCTACGGTTACGGGGTTTAGGTCGTCCATGCCTTTCAGATATTTATTTTAAAACAGCAGAAAAAAATTACAATTAGTGGAAAAAATTTCAAATTTAAACTCTGAAAATGTCAGGTAATAATTTTTGGAAAGCAATTAGCCTATTGGTCAATAAAAAAAAACATAATGTGAAAGGACCACAGTCAGACATGTAATTTCACTTACAAATATCGAATCCTTTCGGTAGGACAAAATAAAAAAAGAATAATATTTTTAAAAATAATGTCTGATAACGTTATTCGATAAAATTAAGAAATAAGTGTAATTGCCACTTACTTTTCTGGTGGTGGCGTTCTTGAGATCAGCGGGTTGAATGGCAATGTTGGAAAAGGGCACCTCCATGGAGTACTTTATGGAATGGAGCAATTGTACGACCACGTTGGACACGTTTTTAAAGCTCAGCTTCCGTCTCTGCGCCGCCCCCAAGGCCGAACGAACCTGAAGCGTGTTGAACAACAGAGGCTGGAAGAGATCCGCCGGGACACCGGGGGAGGGTAGGTTAGTCACAGGGTTAGCACACCAGGGGATGATAATAATACTTGCATTAAACATGGTTAAACATGCAAACATTACGGAATATATAATAAATCTTGAAAGTACTTTATATTCTTTCGATTAGAAAGGGGGTAACATTTAAGAAAATTGATAGACAGTGGTTTTGTGCTTTAATATTTAGTAAATTAAGTATTAAAATTTGAAATAGTTTGGAGTGTGGAAGGTGGTGGTGGACCTACATTTTATTAGTTCCTAAGTTAGTTGACAATAATGTGTAAGTTGGGTGCATGCGGAAATTTTTAAAGAACATCAAAAAATGTACACCACTGACAAATTGGTAAAGGTTTTCCTGGCCAGTAGGTGAACTGATGCTGCCCTTCGAGTCTAAAGGCCGTCGTCGGCTGGAGCTGTTTCTTAACGTTTCGCTAGCACTCGTGTTGGTGAAACGTTGGGAAGCAACTCTAACCGACGACGACATTTAGACCCCAATCAGAACAGAATCAGTTATTTTTGACTCTTGTTACTTGTTAAAGTACCTACGCTTTCAGCGACATATATGTCGGCAATCGATTTCTTCAAATATCTGAAAATGAACTGTTTATTGCCAAAGAGTTAAACAATAAAAAATTTAAAACGTTTTCAATATTCAGTAACAAAAGTCAAAACTTTGAACGAATGTACTTTCTTAAAAAAATATTCTCTAAAATGTTTTTTATGGTATTACACATTTAACTTATATTTCTGAAAGGATTTATTTAACATCCTTTAGATTTATTTTTATATATTGAAAAAGAGTTTTGAGTTTCGATTTTTAGAATTTTTTTTGCATAATGTATTTGCGACAATGTTTCGCCTTTCGCCATTTTTACACCAGTCTGAAGACGCCGATAGGCAGACAATAAAATTCCTAATTCTTTTCTTTCATATTAATTTACACCTCTTCTACTAAGGCCACATAAACCTTTAATTGCCTCTTAGATCAAATAACAACGACAGGGTAAACCCATTTTCTTCTTTGTGTTGGACAAACACCAACAAAAACTGACTTCCCCGGGCTTTCATTATAATTAAGGCCTTAATAAGTACTTCGTGAACAAGCTTAATATACCGTTTGCACACCAGCAATTTTTATCACTTTTGTAATGAGCTGTTCAAAAACTATTTGAATATCAACGAAGTGATTAGAAAAGTGTTTAATGACTATAAAAAAAACTTATACAAGAGCATAAAATCTTAAGCAATTTATGTGAGGACGAACACAGTTAGAGATTTCTTTGGAGTTTTAGTTGATTGCTAAAAATCACTAATATTTATAGTAAAATAAAAGAAAACGTTTTCTATGATGTTTTTTACTTGGATTGCTTAACACACGAAACCAACCAAAAGTATAAGAAAATATATGAGAACTGACTATAAATGATGGAGCCATTAGAATCGATTTTTACTGTGATAAGTAATTGTATATATTTTCAGAAGTACAATAACTGAATAAAGAAATGATCCAATAGGTTATTATTCGATCGTTTCTTTATTTTTCTTTTTAAAAGAAAGTACACTAGGAAATATTAAGAAATGAGGAAAATATCACGGACAAACATAAAACATTACCTCCCAAAACACAGCAATAAAAAGAAGCAAAAATTGACTATGAGCGCATTTAGAAAATGTTCAATTAAATTGCTATCTGATCAGCAGATATTAAAGTGGTTCACCCATGACTACTTGTTTCTGGGAAAAATTAAAAATATTTATGAGTGAACTACCTTAAACATAAGAGGCTTCTAAGTACAAGTAGGTAATAATTTTATTCTCTCATATTTTTGACTAAAAAAGGTGAAGTCAATCATTCTTCTGTTTATGAAGCCCCAGATCATTAGAAAAAAAAACAATTAATTAGTAAAATACATTTTCTTTGAAATAATACCTTTCGCCTCCTAGCTGGAGGAACAATGAAATATGTGGTTACACTGTTGTCCCTCAAGTATTGGTTTCGAGTAGTACCCATTCCTGGTTCAACTTCATATTCACCCCCGAGGTAATCGAGAGTGGCTTGAGTTATATGAACCCGGCTAGAAGTAAGGAAAAGGCCCATTCCACAAAATATATGAGACAACGTTGACTTACGATAAATTATCAGTAGTGATTTGTATAAAACCGAGAAATTGATGCAAAAAAAAAAGAACGCACCGTGTTATTGGAAAATGTAAAGTGTTGTTGTCACTTAGTTTTTCAATAGCTGAACATTCCTACATATGTTAGCACATCGCTTTTTCGTATTATTCTTCCGGTATATACTTCCTTTGTTTTTTAATTTCCTTAATTACCATCCGAAAATTTCAACAAAATCAAGAGGAAGGTAAATTACTTACTTTTACAATCCTAAATTTTAAAAACAACAGTTCCCAATAATTGTTCGTTTACTAAATGAAAATCACAATTTCCCTTTAAATTTAGAAATAATATTGCATAGTTATGAAAAACCTTTGATAACTATAGGATGAAAATGTTGCACAAAATTAACAAAATTAAGTTACACTGCTTACGTACAAAGTTTGTGTATTAAACAAGATCAAGAATTTAAATAATTATTCATTTTTCCTTTTTCTCAAAAAAAATTTATTACGTTTCATGTACATAACTGTAAGCAGTTTTTTTATGGGATTTCCAAAAACTAATAATTACAAAAAAGTTTCAATAATATATAATACTCAAATAACAAACACAGGTCCTTTGCTACGATTTACTTTTTAAACAACTACATAAAGTATTTTGGACTTTTTTGTACTTTTATCTGCCAAGAGAAAAAATACGAGAAACCTTATTTTTTGGTTTTATAGTTTTCGCAAAAATCCCATTACTATTCGCAACAAAAATAGAAATTCACTTACCCTGGTTCTCCACCGGCTTCCATATTGTTTGCCAACGTGACATCGTTGGACCAAACGTCATACTGCCACTTTCTCAACCCTAAAACACCGCATAATACCCTTCCCGAGTGTATTCCAACCCTCATGTTTAGTTGTACATCGGTCGCTTCTACAACGCTGGCAATGGCATCTATCATGTCTAAGCCCATTTCGACGCAACAACGCGCGTGATCTGACCGAGGTTCAGGAAGACCCGAAACGCAGTAGTAACAATCACCAAGAATCTTAATTCGCAAACAATGGTTATCCTAATTGACGGAAAGGAAAAATTTTAATTCGTTCTGCAATGAAAATTTCGTTGAACTTTTTGTCACATTATTGCAGGCTTGCTTCTTAAGCAACTCATTTCAACTCTTCTTTTCTTTGTAAACTTTTTGAAGCCTGGACAAGACAAGATTATTGTTTATCAAAACACATCAAACTTAAAATAAACTAAATAAATAATTCATGGTGCTCAATTGAAAATAAACCTTATTTTTTTTTTAACTAAACCATGATTCTGTTGAAAACTGAAAATGAAATTTATTCTAAACATTGTTTCACGACGCCGTACAGTTCTCGTCGAGATGGTACTGAAGAAGTTACAATAATATGACAAAACGTTCAACGAAATATCGATTGTTTTTCTCGATTACTTTTTCGGCCAAGTTCCCTACGAGTTATACTAAAATTGTTGTGTGAAAACTTATATTTCTAACATACTTGGACGGTTGACAGTGTAATTCCGATCATTAATAAATTAGATGAAAAGTACAGCTGTAAATTAAAATATTTTTGAAATCCATTCAAAGACGTTAAAAATAATTTAACAAGCAAAATCTTTTAATTTCAATGAAAATTTAAAATACAGCTTGTACAGTATTTACAATCGCATTAGGATGTAGCATATGCAAAATGTCCTTAATTTTTAGTTTCTATACTTCTGATGTATTCTGCAAATGGTTCTTTTCTATTTCAATTAACAGTTTTGTACTTTCATCATGCTACATACATACGTTTACATTTCAACGTAATCGGTTAAACGGAAGTGGCTGAAAATTCAGTAAATCGACGAAGATGGCAAAATAAACTAAACTTTGCTAGTAAACTGTTGAAGTATTTTCTAAACTTTATTATGCCAATGTATACTTGTTACAAAATAGAAGGAAAAAATTTCCTCATTGGCCAATAATTATTTTGGTCACTTCAGTCACAGATTACATTAAACGAATAAGAATAGAAATGTACCATTAGCTAGGATTAAAGATTTGAAATGAATAATATAAAAAGACGGTTGTTTATTTTTTGTAATTTTTAGATTGTAACGGTATTTTTCATTTTAAAATTGAAATATGATAAACTAGTTACGACCAAGCATTGAAAACTTACGTTAGCAAGTTGATCAAATCTGCCAAAAAGTTCATTCAACAACCTGACGAGTTCTTGAGCTGTACACTGAGACGCTAGAACTGTAAATCCTACGATATCGGCAAATAAGATGCTGGAAAAAACAATATTGATTCTACCCTCCGCTCAATATACATATGTATGTAGGAATTATGATAATGCCATGTTTACCTAACGTTTTCGTGCTTTTGAATATAAATTTTATGGAATTGTCCCTCAACGGGTGATATTATGTCATTTTTCATTTCCATTGCTACATGTTGAGGTAGAACGGATAGTAGCAATCTTTCCTGGAAAGAAATTTGATACTAGTATAAGTTACATCCCTCCGTATAATATAGGGTTGTTCGGAAAGTCATTTCGTTTATTTTTGTGGAAATGAAAGACAGTTTTCGTATAATTAACAAATACTTTATTAAATTATATATTGACCGTTCTGGTCCAACACCTTTTGCCATCTTTCTGGTAGTAGCATAATTCCACGCTCATAAAATTTTTGGTCTTTGCTGGCAAAAAACTGATCGAGGAG